CCATGCCCCCCCCCCCCGCGGCTGTCAGTGGATTGAACCAACTTCAGATTAACTTGGTGAGTTTACAGAAGGCACTAAAGTTACACCTTGAGTGTCCACCGCCAGAACATAAATATTTATAGGGCACATCATATGTAGCAGCTAAGCTGACGGACGCCTCACCTACACCAATCCACTCTCCTAGCATAGCAACATAATGACGGCAAAACAGCTTAGCATCGTGATTTGTAGCCGTCTTTATTGATAAAAAATACTTAAAATGTACGGATAACACCTGTTACAACCACAATTTGTTCCCAACAGCCAAAAAGTCTTAGAATGTGCATTGTAATCAATAACAATTAATACAGTGGTACAATTCCTTAGAGCGCTGGACTCCCGGTAGTGAGAGCCCGGGATCGAGTCTCTCTGGCGCTCGATATTTGAGACTCCTGACGGGGATAGTCTGCGGTTGGTGGGAGCGACCGCAGCCGGTTGAAGTCAATGGAGTGGGACAGGCCGTGTCCGGCTTTAAAAGGCACGTTAAAGGGACTGTCCCACCTTAACATTAGAATTGAGTTGAGATAGCCATCTTGATGGGCGTTCTTTGAAAATCAGAGCCGTGAAAACCGTTTCTCCAGCAATTACTTCATCGCAAAGAAATTTGTGTTTGATTTTGACATCTGTGCAAATAAGTGCCACAATGTATTGGTATTGGCACTTAAAACCTGTGACGTTTCCGCCTTTTCCGAAGTTTCTGTATCTGTCGACTTGTTTTTATCGAAACCTTGAAAAATAACAACGCCTCCTTGAACAGCGCCCATTCGTTCCGGGTGGAGAAATAAATTGATATGCCAAACTAATTCTAATAGTCTTCTAATTCTTGTAGTATTTTTATTTTTGTATTTAAATAGTTAAGAGGCCGTCCTAAATGTGACTGAAGAATGCAAGAGCCATGAACTTATCAATGGCAGGTGTCAAGTTCAAGTGTGCAACTCTCTAAAATTAATCATAGTATCAAAATGATAAATGATTTGCTCACTGCTGTTTCAACTTTCAACTCCATAATCAAGACATGCTCTGAGAAGTCCACAATCTATTGATGGTGACAACTAAGGAAGAGACGATGAATGTTCACCTTTTTATTTCTGAGCATCCAAGACGACTAACCTTGAGCCGTTAAACATTGATAATACCCTGTATGCTGAAGTGTGGGTGGCCTGAGGTCGACCATGCCTAGTAAAGAACTGTTGTTTGTGTAAACACCATGCAGAGGTGTTTTGAAATAAATTTTAGTGATGTAATGTATCATTCTTTGAACTGAGTTGCTGATGGCGGATGAAAGCGGAAGTGCTGCATGTTGAATAAGAAATGCTCTGTTGTGCTTTTAAGCTTATGTTAGATTTTATAGATGGCTTAGTTTTCCTGCAGATTTCATCTTAAAGCTGTCAATAGTGTTTTACCTTTGTTTCCTGGGAGCAGATCCAGCTACTAACATGAGCATGGGACTGGGCCTTTGTACCACAGTCGCTGCGCTGCTTGTCAAAACCTAGGTAATGTGCCTTGTTAGGCCATGCTGTGCATTTTTTAAACCTTTAAGAGTAACTACTTTGTGATCATTGACACACATATTGCACCTGACAAACAGCAGCAAAATCACACCCCATCCTTACCTCTGTGCAGTGTCACCCAACAGACAACGGGGCTTCAAAACAGGCAGGTTCCGCATTCAAGTCGCTTCTTGCAACTATTTGACTAATGTTAGGACAATAGACGTGCTGTACAGGGAAGGCGTGTTCTGTGTAGCTCTTGAAAAATGAAGTCATGCCTAAAATTCAGTTTAGAATATTACAATTACAAATAACTTGGATAAAAGTTGCAAAACATGAACTCTGACTGGTCAGTTGAAATGTCTTGAGTCAGTGAACCACGCCTGGGCTGGAGGTGGTCAGTTCCCTGACTTGCGCGACCTCGGGCATGAGCTGTGGTACTTGTACATGGACAAATTGAATAGGCCTAGATCATGTCGTGGCTGCAGTCCAAGACATGTTCACTAGTTGCTGTTGCTGCCGCCGCCTGCTGCTGCCCTGCGCACCGGCTGGCAGCTCACTGCTGGACTGTTTGCGCGCCAGGCATCCTACTGGACGAGTGGGGTGGGTCGCAGATCTTTGAGAGTGAAACGTTTGGTCAATGTAAAGGTAGCTGAAACTCTTACAAATAATCTAATAGAAAGGCAAAATTTCAGAGGACTCCATTGGTGTCTCAGTGGTGACAATCAGAACTTGATCAGAACTGTTATCACTTATCATGCTGAATGCTGAAACTGAGAATAGGGCTGAGCTGGTGGGCTAGAATTTAATATGCAGGCTTACAAGGACCCCAGTTAATCCACAAATTTGTCAGACTTGCCTGTAGGCAAATTTATGCAGATGAAATGTTTCTGGCAGATAGCCCTGAGGCAAAATGCTATTCAAGCTTGTTCCGCAGCTCGTTGCGTTCCACCTGAGCCACTAAATCAGAGTCACACAACTCTGCCAAATGTGCTGAAAGGCCACAATTTTTCCAATAGGTAGGTATATTTATTATTTTTCACAGACACAACAAAAATACAAATGCAGTTCACTACAATTCATTCTGCTTCAATTACAAATGCTGGAATGTGTTTTGCAGACTTATTATACTGAATCTTGAACAGACTATATTATATTACTTTGCTCATGGGCCCAGGCCAGTACTGCAGAGTATGGCTCGCAGGTCGCCAAGGAGCACTGGCCCAACTCCCAAGCTCAAAATTGACACAAACCCTTCAAACAGAGCCCGAAAATTCACACCAAAGGGGGCTGAGGCCTGAGAGAACACAAAAAATGCACCAAACCCCAAAATGGCCAGTCAAAATCTGCACTGACCTCAAATCCCCACAATGCTACACATCTGCACCACAGCAAGCCAAATTCGCACCCCGCTACACTACATCCGCACCACACTAGACCAAATCCGCACCGCACCACACTTAAATCCGCACCAGACGAAGGAGTCCGCACTGACATAATCTAGACAAAATTGCCCCACTTTGCAGTCTGGCTCATGGCTATATCCATTGTGATTCTTAGGTCTGATTATTGAAGTTGAGCTCACTTCCATCATCCATGTGCCCAAGACATTGTGGGCAGCATCAATAATCAAACATCAATATCTTGCTTTTGCTTATTAAGGAGCATTCTATAACTTTTTAAAAATGATAAATAAGGCCTTGTTGATATTCTTTGCAGTTTGCGACCTTCTTCTGGACAAAGTTCAAGCTTCAATTTTCCAAAATTCATTTCAATCCTTTCCATGAACATTGAACATGTTTACCAATTTCCTGAGTTTATGCGCAATGTTTGTACTATTCGCGGCAGAAGCGTAACAAAACTTTGTGCCACCGATTTGGCAGCTAGGAAAAAAACTTTGCCCGATAAAAAAACAATCATATGACGTAATCGATCCAAAAGCTTTAAATTGGAATTTTTAAACAATTAGCCAACTATGGGCCGAATGTTTGCCAATTTCGTGTAAAGGGGCCCATAATCTATGTCTTGCAACACAAGAACAGTATATCAAAGCAATTTTTTGAAGGTGGGACAGTCCCTTTAAACTTTGGCATCTAAATCCCCCCGTTACCCGAAATTACGTGATCGAACGGTTGATGTGCGAGTCTACGCAACAAGCTCTGCTTAGCCGCCTAGCGTGAGCTCCGGACCAGTCAATCCGTCCATTCAAATATTCGAGCTAAAAAAATCTTTCAATAAAAAACGCACAAAAATACCAAAAGGAGCCCACAAATAAATGGGTCCAGGTCCCGGAACTAACAGAGTACCATTAGCCTGGAAATTGTTGACCAGTCATAATATCGATAGACATCAGAACACAAGGCAGCTATTACATTATGATGGGTAATCATCCTTTATAAGTCATACAAACGTGGCGGAGTAAAGCCATACGGATACCACGTCATACACCTCAACGAAAAGCATTCATTCACTCGCAAATTGTCCAAAACCCTTGACCAAACAGTCTTCGCGTTATCGTTCGCTAGCAAACCATGAATGCCCAATGACCGATTGAAAACAGTCCGCCGCCCGAAGACAAACCTCCCGCTGTTCGGCGTCCACACGGCCTGCAGCGATGCTGACAGCCCCTATGCCCCCTACTCGGCAGATCAGCCCTCCCCCGCCGCCGCGGCGCCAGTGGACCAATAACCTGACTCCACAGCGCGGCGCCGGGCGAATCGATGCGCCAACTTCCGCGCTCTCATTATATGAGAATGTATGGCGGGCCCACCTGGGGACCGTGTGGCGGCCAATCAGGCCCTCTGCGGTCGGCGCCCGAAAACGACCGACTCACCCGCCGGGATGTCCGCACTAAAGGCAACACTGCCCCTCCCCTGCCCTGGGGCAGATAGCCGGAAGTAAGGTATTGGCAGAGTTGTAAGGGCCTGGATGAAATGAGATCATCAGGCACGCGCCTACCTGAATCTGGTGTGGAGCTATGAGAAGTGTGATAATTAAAACAGTAAAAATATGTTATTTTATGTGCTTCCACGCCTTTTTGTTTTAATAACTTTGATTTCATGGCCCATGGGTATAATTCATGGAGCGTTGCTGCGTTTACAGCAGGTATGTACAAGAAATGCACAAGGTACGAGGAATTTCCAAGAGTTTATGTGAAAAGGCTTCAGTAACCAATTCCAAAAACCACTTCATTATAATAAAAAATGTTCGATCAAAATTCAAAACTCAATTGTAACGGTATTTACTCACTGCGCGCATTATCGTGTATTGCGGAACAGCATAACTTCAGGCGCCTACTATTAGCGACATCTAACGTGAAGAATATAAGCTTGCATTGCGGCGCAGCATAGCTGCAGGCGCTGACTACTGACAGTGACGACATCTCGGGACGCTATTGTAAAATAGAGATGCAGCCATACGTTGAACTTGCCTTGCCTATGCTGAGGTTGGATTTTAGGCAGTTGGACTTACCTATGATGAAGCCCAATGGTAAAAGGATTCGGACGAGACACCAGCAAACGCCCTCGCCAGCCATGGTGCCTGCTCTTAGGTGGCCCACTCTGAAACCAGAAACGAAACCAGAGTCAGATAAACCAGTCAAACATCCTGCTCTTCAGCTACCGGGCACTAACTATCTTCAGTTGGGACGGGAAAAGACGTTAGTGTGCAAGGAGCAGCGAGTTTAACTACGGATGAATGCCTATTGTTTGGGTTTCAAGGAGACCAAATCCATCAATGTCACTTGAGGGGTACCGAGGAGCAATTTACTAGACAAAGACGTCCAGGTAAGAATCATTAGGCAAAGTTCAAACGCATACTTGGTGATCAATTGGCGGGTACAAGCTTCCACATGGGCTAATAAGTTGCAAGCCGCAAAGACCGCGTGCTAAGCAGACTCGCTTCAAAAGCAATACCTGGACATAATTCTCATGACACCACTATACTTCCTTATCCTTGGAAGACAACTGTCAGTGAGTAGCCTAACCCATTTATATGTGGATCAGCATTTACCCGTCTGTCATGCATAAAACATACCACAATGCCGTTGATTGGTGGCAATAAATGCGGCAGTTATACTGTGCTTGGAGAAACACCGTTATGACCTGAAGAAGGTAGCGTCTTTGCGGGGTAAGTAATCCCGATAAGCGACACGGTACAAAATAGTGCCGATTATGGGCGAGACATGAACACATGAGCTCCCAGCATAAAAAATATAAAAACGAAATACTGTGACTGAGCCGATTTAACCACGTGCCAGCATTCCAATGCTCGTTATATTTTATAAGTTTGACATTCACTCTAACGCGAGAGGGTTCCTGCTGCTTTGACTAAACTGAGGCGAGTGAGCGGATGTCCTGTGGGTGGGTATGTGGGCGCCGGCCAGCCACTGCAGCTCGCTCCGAGCCAACCAGCCGAGTCGCCCAGCGCGATGACGCTCATCAGGGTCGATACGGGCGACACGCCCGTCATTCAGACGCAGACAGCACTCGGAAGTGCTAACACACCAGCCCGGAGCACCGCCCCTCAGAATGGCCGCTCCGGACACAACTGACACGGTCACTGAAGAGCGCGAACTGGGGCAACTTCCTTTGAGACTTTGTGGGTCAGTTTTTGCGCCATGCGTTGGACTGAACGTGGTCCTCTCAAAGCATTTACCTAGATTACAGCAAAACTGAGAGCAGTCATTTTAAAATCTTGTTTATTTTAGAGGATTACCAAAAACATACTTTTACTCACTCAGCACTCATGCGTGGAATCACAGACAACTGTGGTGGAACACGTGCTTATTGTGCAATGAAAACAAAAATAGCTGGACCCAAAGACAACATCCGGGTACGCTGGCTTCCTAACGACACTCCTCAAAGCGGAACTAAGCGATCTGTGCTTCAGCGACACTAATCGCAATCCATTTGCATGCATGAAATAGCATTGCCAGAAATTCATCGTGGCGGCTTTGCACATTATGTCGGCAGAATGTGTCGGGGCTGGGTACGCTGTGCCGGTGTTCTGCACCCCCTGCGTGACCTCTAATGGCTGAGGCCGACTCCCGTGGGGCGCCCAGTCACAGCGGCACTGCAAGTGCAGAGCCGCCGTATTCTATCAGGGAAGTGTGTCCAGTCACGGGATTGGCCAGTGACACCGGATGTGTCGAGGGACTTTGTGGAGCTGCTTTACCCATAAACGTATTTGCTTGTCTTTGTGCACTTTTATTTTTATTGGCATATGCATTTATGTTGCACAATTCCATTGCTATCAGTGATACAGCATCTATAAGTGGAAAGCCAGCGGCCCGAGTGCCGTCAGAAAGCTGCAACAGGAGCAGATAGCTGCAGATAAATGCAATAACAGCAGATACCTACAGATGACTGCAATAACTGCAGATAGCTGTCCTGACACCCAAGGCGTCAGTAAACAGAGCTGCAACGACAGCATGCAGCGAACAAGGCCTCTAACGAAAGAACTGAGCTGAACACAGGGATTTTCACTGACAAAGAACTGAACCGGCAACAGATAAGTACACCAGCGATGGCTGCTTTGGCAACCAGGAGCTGCACTGGCACGAAGCGGCGACCCGCTCCGGCAGCTGGGAGCGGCGGGCTGCGGTCGGGCCGCGCTCAGCGGGCTGCGGTCGGGCCGCGCTCAGCGGGCGCCGTGGTTCGATCGCCCGTCGGAGGCCCTCCTGGCGAGCCGAGCCGGATCGGGTGTCACGGGGGAGCGGGTTCGGCCGCGGCTCAGAGTCCCAAACCGAGCCCCGCTGGTACGGAGTCCCAGCCTACGCCTAGTCCGGGCGGAGCCCCAGTCCAGTCTCACCCCCAATCACAACCCAGCCCCAGCTCTAGCTCCAGCTCCAGTCTCACCCCGACCCAAGCCCAACCCGAGACCAGCACCGATCACAGCCTCGGCCCGACCCCATCCGCAGCTCGGCCGCAGTTCCCAGCCCCGGCCCGAACCCCACCGCAGCTCAGCTCTGCAGTTTCAACCCCGAATCTAGTCACGATAGGACCTGTCTTTGAGCTCTGGCCCAATGGTCGCAGCTCAGCATACCAGAAATTTGCCAATCAGCGAGTTATGATGTCTGTGACCAGATAAAGAAAAATGTAGACACACAAGCGCCAGTGAGTTATGGAGATAGGAAAAAAAAGAAATTAAACGCATTCGGGATTCGAAGCATAGGTGACGAAAACCATTGCACATCATTTTTGTCATTTCGGAACGCTTTCATCTTATAATACAAAGGCTGCCAATAAATAGTAAAAACATGCACGAGGAGTTGCAAAGAGCATGCTGTGTTTTGATGTCCATTATTTAGGACGACACTGATGGTGACATGCGAGACGCCGAGCTGAATTAATCCAGGGACATAGCCATCGACCTGAGCAACTTATGGCTTCCTCCCAATGACTTTGTAAATTTGAACATAGAATTTGAACATCAAAGGCTTGTGAAGAAAATACTTCAGTGACTCAACTTTGGACATAAATAGCAGTATTTAGGTCGATCGCTTACTTTCATTTATAAAATTTCAAAGTGACTATCTCAATCACATGGTTTTTACTTTTTATTCATTTTAATCGCTATCAGCAATTAATTTCAAAGGAGCAAAAGCATATAACGTTTTAGAAGCAGCGAGGCATTATGGAATCATCCACCAGGTTCATATAAGGTACGTACTTTCTTCCATTTCTCGGCTAGGATTCCCAGATGTCCTGGGGCACACGCACATGCACACGCACACACACGCACAGCGGACGGGTCGCGGGTGACAATCGATTGTGTCTATACGCTCTGGCGGGTGGGGTGGAGCCAGCAGTGCGTTTGGGAGGAAAATATCGGAGATAAGAAGATTGTAGGAAAATAGGAACATAATTAAGGACTGCGCAAGGGGCAATCACTTTTTAAGGTAGCTCTTAATTTCAATCTTATCAGCAGTAATGCAAACACGCAGCGCTTCAAAATGTGATCAGATTCAAACAAAGCTTATCCATTGACCGTCTGGCGACTATTTATACAGTAGCAAAACTCGTCCTACACCGTATCAAAGGATAGCTATATCTTGGAACAGTTGCATGCAAGATTCTTACATTGCATGCGGCGGACACCATGTATTCCAAGCCTATGTAGAGTCACGCTTGTAATATGGCAACGGGCTCCAACAAACAGCACATGTAAACCATTTCATTCTATCGTGTACTCGTACCTATATCTTTTTCATTGAAAACTATCCTGTCGTCATTCGTCACATAAGTGTGAGTAAATAAACGCGCTATCTCCTTCGATCGCTGACACTAGCTGCTTTGGCAGACGTCTCAGGTCTCCAATGAATGCTACCTTTGATGATAGGGATTTGATATATACCAGGGCACGGGGCCATTAAAACTTCGTATATGCGTCCTATCTCACCATGTTATAGCGATGAGATAGGTACTAGCCGTCACAGTAAATGAAAAGACGCAGCTCTCAATCCTATACTATGACCATGCTCGTGATTTGATGACACCATGGCAATGAAATAGAAATAAATAAAATAACTGTAATAGAGTGAGACTGGTAAAATATTTACTTGTTAAGGACAATGTTTAGTGTTAGCCAAGGTCTTTGGAGATTTAGAAGGGCAGTCCGATAGTAAACACACATTCCTCCTCTCTTCGGTACAGTGTGGAAGTTTCCATCACGCCAACCCTCACCTTCGTCGAACAGAGGCCACTCCTCGCCGCAGACTGCCCAGTCGCGACTGCATGCCGGTCGACAGCCCGGACGCGTGTCGATTTCTGGTGGATGAGGCGCGACTCTCGGGTCCCCCTCCCCGCGAGGTCGGGGCGGAGCGTCCCTTCTGAGATATCCAGTCTACTGCCGAGGTCAGCTCGGCGCCGTCGGCGTCCGCGGTCAGCATGTCTGTCTCCGAGGTCAGGCTGGGCCTGCCGTCACTCCTCCAGTCCTCGTCTAGCTCCTGCAGACGCTGGTGAGCCATCATCTCTGAGGTGTCTTCACTTCCGGCGCAAAGCGGGATACCGCTCACCACTTGATTGTGGCAGAGGGCTTGTAATTGTGAACAGGTGGGTGCCAAGTCATGCCAACGACTGTCACATTAGCGTCACTTACGGCTGTATGCCACGCCCGTCACTTATGCTTCAGAAAAATCGCATTCACTTATTCACCACACTTGTTGGTTGTCAATTCAAAATTGAATATCCCTGAACGGTGAGCCGGATCATCCACGCTTCACCAGTCTGGGTGAAGATACAAGCCTCGCTGCCTCGCCAATAAAAATCCCTGAGTCAGGATACACGCCTCACCAACACTTGTGCTCTGGTGATGTTTCTGTCCCCGATACACAGCACGTTCACAGCACACAGTTGGCACACAGCTTCAGCACTGAGCGAGAGGGAGGGCGAGGGAGACGGCCGAGTTCATATCCTGATAGCAAGTCACTGATAAGTGCCCTGCCACCCCTGCCTGTTTGTTTCACAATGTTCAACTTTGGGGTACCGCGCTCGAATAAAGTGTTCCTCTTCCACCACCTATTTCACCAAATATTCTCCCACTTGTTTCGCTGCTGCTTCCACCTTATGATCGACCACAATCACCTTTTCAGTCGCTATCGCTTCATTCTAAAACGTGGCTAGTTACCGTGATATCGCGGCTACTGCACAAAATTCCCCACCGTCACAACATTAAAACGCCGTCTTTCGTAGTGTCCTCACTTACTCCCACCACTGCCACCGCTCAAGTAACCGTCACTGCTCGCACCACCTTCACAGTCTCAGAATCCACAGTATCCTCGTCGCCACCGTCGTCGGGTCGCCGCACACGGCACCGTCGACGGCGTCGCGACAGGGGCGGCTCGCTGCCAAGTGCCGTCGCCGCTCGACACGTGCCTCTCAGGGGAAGGTCGCCCGCCTCACTGGCGCACCTGTGTGTGTATGCACGGCTGTGTGAGGCTGTATGTGTGCGGCGCCACGTCACAGCCGAACTGGGCCGGCCGCTGTCGCGACGTGCGGTGAACTGGCTCGCGCCGGGCGACATAACAGCTGACCGATAATGGAGACGCTCTCCGTGCGACGGTACGCGAGAGGGCGCTGTGCGCAACCACAGTCAGAGGTGACGTCATAGGTGACGTTATACATTCAATGGCATCATACGTCATATAATGATGACGTCATACGACAAAGCCCCAACAGGGTGAGCAATGCAGGAAGGTAATGGCATGATAGCGCGCCTAATTTAATTTGTAAATGTGATCTGTGGTCCTTTTCAAATGTTCGTCATTGTTCCTTACCGACAGGTAACTGACGTCCTATACGGTTTGTTGGATTCACGGATAAATACTTTTATTACCTACAGTTGTCTGTCACATGGATATTTGCGCTAACACATCGAACGGGCTTTCTTTCGTTGTTACACATTTAAAAATAAAAGGCATCACCTTATTCAGTTAAAATTGGGACGGTTATAATTCAGAAAGCCAAACTATTTATCCTTCTATTTTTAAGAGTCGAGACAAAGACGCCTAATTTAATTTGTAAATGTGTTAAAATTGTTTAAGTGACGGCACCAAAAACGTCTATGATTTGTCTGGCAATATATTCAAGCGCCTCGCACCCCAACCGTTCAAGTTTGCTTTGCTTGGATGTAACATAATACCTTGTTATGAAAACCCTGAGGCCTGGTATTTCTCTTTGGTAGGTAACACCGCTTCTTCTCTGTGGTAGGTAACACCGCTTCCAAAACAAACGTAATACACAATATTTACAGGTTAGTTGCCACAAGCAGATGATTAAGTTGCCAGAAAGTAGAATGTGCGCACGTAAGGGCTTAAATCGAAAACGTGGAAATATTCCCTTCAAATAAATGATCATACTGTATTTTTGTTTGTACCCATCCCACGATTTACGAAATTTGTGCGTGACACCTACCAAAGAATCGCTAATAAGCGTCCTGTAACAACCGAAAACCACAGATAACAGTAGTACTACTGTAATCTGTGCAAAAACTAAAGCAGGGCACAGAATGAGAGTACTGATTGCGCAGCTGAGGGATGGTCAAAATAGCGAGTTATAATGTAAAACAAATATATTAGGGTGTTGACTTGGCATCTGTGTGAACCACTCACTTCGGCCAGGAACCGCTTCGAGCTGGATTGTGCTAGTTCCCCGACACGGTCTGACGAGGGACGCCTCACTTGTGGTGTACGAGCTGATGCTGACCGGCACCTGGACTACTTGGTTTTACTCTCACATTTTAAAGTGCGCTCCATCAAGTCCAGATTCATACAGTACGATATCATGTTTTTATTCCACATTCATCGTGGGAAGCTGGACAATGATGTGTTAGTCGGTGCGTTCGGTCTTGCCGTACCGGCACGGAGGACGAGGAGCACGGTTCTGTGGAACACACCGCGCGCGCGAGTGAACACTGTGCAACGATGTTTGTTTGTCAGGATCCCAGCTGCATGCAACTCATTCTTGCTCCATGACCCGACCACCGACTTCTTTACTGGTAGTTCATACTCATTTAAAACACGCGCTATCGGCTTCACAATTACGCAAGGCACTTTCATGTGATCTTTTACATCATACTCACGTGCTTTACTTTTATCGATCTTGTATGTAGGTACCGTCTATGAGACTTCTTACCTATTAGTCATAGTGTGACCTCTTACTCCTTAGTCATAGGTAGTTCTTTCTCATGAACCGATTTTATGTCTACTGTTCCTGTGATTTTATCTTGTACTCAATAACTATATACTCCTGCCGATTATAAATTTACCGTATTTATCACATTTTCTTACGTTTATTCTTATGTAGGTACTGTCATCTTGTGTATTGCTTGTGTGTAACTGACTTCGTCAGTAAAAGGGCGATGGGCCTGTTGGCGATCTAATAAATACAGAATACAGAATACTTGTATGCTAAATGACAAGTGTGTATGTAGTGGAGTGCGGATGGGATTTTCTAGGCTCAGTTCCGTCAAATAATAAGTAAAATGAATACCTGTAATGGATAAAACATACTTGTGTCTCAGCTTAACGACAGCAGCTGTACCGCCCGGCCAACATCGCCAGACGAGTGACGTCATCACAGGCAAACCGTGTGAGTGGTCAGCCCGATATAAACAGTGGGAGAGAGGACAGCTGGCTGTCGCTGCAGGGTCGCCGAGCGGCCAGAATGACAGCAAACAGACCCGAGTCGAGGTGCACGCTCGTCCAAAAAGTCTCATCCTGTGTGGTAAAGGATAACGAAAAAAAACTCGCGGAGCAAAAAAAAAAAGATCAAGATCAGCGGCGGATTCCTACGCGTCTTTAACACATATCTAAACAGATTACTATAGAGTTAGTATTAGTCCTAGAGGAATGTCTAGTGTAACCTTTAGCAGAGCTCAAAAACAAATGTGTAGTTCGAACAATTTCTTCAGTAGCCTGATTGATATCTCTCACAGTCAAGAAGGCCCGAACTGAAGCTTTCAGCTAAAACAAACGCTAAAACAAATGTAAAAATAAGCAGCTTATTACTTATCGAATATCTGCCAGAGCATTTTAAGCGTATCATCTAGCAATGACGAATAACGTTTTAGCTTATCGCCGAATCCCCGAGCGCGCGGCCATACGCAAGCCAAGAGTAAGGGCTTTGCGGCGCAGGCTAACTTCAGGCGCTAACTTTAGTGCCATCTAGCGGCGGCAATATAATTCAATACAACAGGAGCACTACTTTACCAAATTCACAGGCTAAAATACTCGCTAAACGCAAAAAAATCAGCGCTGTATATTTTGATTGCCTTTTTACTTTTCGGATATCCATTTCACATAAATCTTATCGACATAAAAATGTCAACCACGCAGCCTAAAATATGTTACAGCGTAGGATATACCTACCTTCCAATCGTCACATTCCAAACTGTTTTCCTAATTTAAGCTTTTGTTACGGAATCTACCAAGTAAACGGTTCATTCAACAGGTCATTCTCGTTGTCAGGGCCATTCCAGATACATGTTCCCCATGTATAATCCGATGCCACGGTCGGCCGACCAACGTTCTGACTACCGATCCGTTCCGCCGCCGTCGGCAGAGGTGCAGACGCTTCATCAATCCATTCGCCGCTATACACAAATACCCTGCAGGCTCGCCCTCTTACCAGCAATCAGTCACAATCGGTCACCGTGGCCGTTGGCGGTGACCGCCGCCCCCGCCCCCGCCCCCGCCCCGGAGGAGAGAGAAGGTCAGAGCATCCCGCACGGCTGCCAGAAACGAGCGGCGGAAGTGCCAATGTAAATGGCTAATTCACATACCGTGTAGCTTTGCGGTGCAAAACGCCGCGATTAAAAGTGCAGAAAAGTTTCAAGTTCCTCGATCACGAAGCAGTCATCACAAGTAAAAGCTGCCGCACTGTAACGTGCAAACTTTTGAAGACTGGACTATAGATCTTTGAAGACCGCTGAAGCCCTTCAAGCCCTTTGTCCACCAATAAATACTTTCATCAGCCGAAATCAAATCAGATCACACGCTGAACTGGAATTAAAAGTATTGATGTTCTGACTTATGACCTAAGATATACTCACTAGTGATGTCAATTACAAAAAAAAATCGGAATACCGATACCAAAGCAAATGCCAGCCAAGACCGTTAGGAAATACCGAAACCGAACCAACTTGCAAACATGAGGGAAATACCAACGTTTTACCAATTTCTCAGCCTTTTATACAAAAGTGAGGGCTTATAATACCAACAAAATACGAAACATATTCGGATTGAAATACCAAATATCAAATCGGTATCGGTTTGGTATCGGTATACCAAAAAGATGGTATCCGATTCACATCTCTAATACTCACATTTAAAGCATTAATGTTATTGGAAAATGTGCGAACAGAAAACTGAAAAGAATATTGATCCCTGCCGTCTCAACAAAAGTTGTTACCGCGTAAAAGTAACTCCACGAAGAATTGATTGACCCCTTCCCAAAACGATCATGTTGAGCGCAGCGCTAGTCTGAGTCCCATCATCGCATGACAGTCAATGTCCCGCCGAGAGTTACGATGCACATTTCCCCAGTTTATGTGAGGTCAACTAGGGTCAACAACCGACAGCGCCTGGTTTCGGCGACATACTGACCATCGGTGATTTCACCGAGGGTGCTGTTGTCTTGACCTTTGACGTGCATTCTTCAATTAGTTTGCATTGACGATATGAGCCGTCAAACATTGAGTTTGAGGCGTCAAAAGCGAAGTCGCGTCTACCATGAGCTATATATGCGTCTCTTATTTCCAACATGCTCTGGAGGGTGTTTTGCATGCAGAGCAGTTGTGCGTGCCAATGCACCAAACGACGGACGTCATCAAAAATTTATCTCAGTACCGGAGACATATGAGTCACCACTCGCCAGTCACATGCTCATCAGTCATTGCACCATCACTCATATAAACAAACTCGCCGTCGATTTTGGAGCTCTTCGAATCAGTGGACCACCCAGGCATTGTCATTAGACCTCACGGGCGACGTAAGGTCTAATAGCTCCAGCTAATTGACTGTTGAAACGGTGCCAATTTTGTCAGCAGTATTTGCTTTTTCGGCAAATGAGAAGGCCGTCCAATGAAAAATGGTCCGCCCCTTTGTCTCCAACTTCGCCTTGGAATTTCTAATTCTCACGGGATGATGGTTAACGAAATGCAAAAGGTATCTTTATGAAAAATAGATTAAAAGTAAAATTAGCAAACTGACAAAGACGGCAGCAAAAAAAAAAAAAACATTGTTAGAATGACCATCGCTCTCCTCCCCTCCCCACCAAAAAAAAAAAACGTTCCAAAAACTGAACCAACCTGACGTCCACAAGTAACATGTCCCACAGTCTGCACCACCAATAAACAATACCCAGCCGCAATCGGCCAATAACATCCCGCTTGATTCGTCTGCTGGGATGCCGAAGCCGGAAACACGTCCTGTCTGATAGCATTGAATACGGACATCCTATCTTCATCCACAGGACTCCTGCATTCATGAGACAGGCAGCTCAGT